TCAGAATTATTCGAAAATTGAAAGTTCTTTTTAAACGTAAGTTTGCTTTTCCCCAGTTCAAAGAAAAAAGCAACTTGTTACCAAGCGAGTGAGGAAACGAATTTTTCGGCCAGTTTTTTATGATACATAGCTTTTCTTTCATTTTGGCCAAACTGTGAAAGCTCGCTGCTAAAATATGATCCTGATAGTCACGTAATGGATTCTATATGCATTATTTATGTAATCCTGCTCGGGCAGTCAACTTTCTGTTAAACGTGACTATATGTGAATGAACTCGCGTCATCCGTTGAGGCCTCGTAGCCAAGGTGGCTAGAGCTTTGGCTGTACTAAAGCCTTCTCCTTGCTGTCGCGGGTACGAATCTCAACAGCGCACATAATTTCACACAGTTGGATCAAATGAATTTTGCAAAACCTGCCAGGACACCTATGAAATATATCAGAATTTCAAAGGCTATTTTTAATCACTGAGGCAATGCATATTTCATAAATAGTCCGTACTCACAGGGGAAACTGTTTACAGGCCAAGCCGTAGTCCAAGCCGGCAAAATGATACCCGATTAACACAGCCTCGGTGACCATTTATATGACGGATCACGGTTTGGCGGATATAACATGAGGAGAGATAAATTGTCCTAGAACCGCCCCTGCGTACATGTGAATTTGAATATGTCGCAAAACGTACATTCCAAGAAAACAACTTTGAATAGGTAGCATTCTTTGGGTACAAAATAAAATCTTTTGCGTGAATTATCGCAACTAGTTCCACAGCTCGTCATCAGACTTCTGGACCATGTACAAAACATTTAATCGTGTCTGCACCAGTATGCGTCAATTATATTTCGTAAACGGCATCGCCGGCTCCCATTTACCCTTCAGAAATTTGTACGTGGCATCCAAATAGATATGTTGGTTGTTGCATACTTCACCCGATTGCATTACCTCCAGGGATTCGCCAAGAATGTGAAAATTTTCCGGTTAAAATTTATGTCCAGCGTCCAGTGCGTGCAAAGCCACCTGGAATAGATGTTATCGTCTCTTCACCGCTGTGCGTGTTCATGTACACGAGTTTAGATAGGTTTCCCAGTCTGGTCACAACAGACAGCGTCAAAACGGATGCATAGAATTTTGTAGACAACACATTTCCTATCCAGATGGGCAACGCCTTGCCAAGATTGAACAAGCTGTGTACGCAAGCGGTTTATAGGTTGCTGTGCGAACTGTGTCTGCTGTTCTTCAGCTGTTTTTCGACGGACGGAGAAACATTTTTCGTACATCAGAAAGTCGGCCTTGCGAATGTTTTCGTGCCCGGTTGGCCGTCATGTTCGATACAGCCTTCCTTTTGATCTCATGATTAACTCACTGACGCAAAAATTTCACGCGGGTTCCTATTGTAAAAAACAGCTGGGAGAGGTATTTAGTTCCTGCTCAATAACTTTCTTCATTAGGGGAGTGCGTTTCAGCCGTAACTAGAACTTCTCCTGAGAGCGCGGGGATGATTGCTCGCAAAGTGTAAGATGGCCTCATAATATCTTCCTTTGAAACAAACTGGATCGCGAAGCGATCTTTCAGCTTTTTAACGCCAGGCCGAATAAGTGGGGACAAAATTGCTCATAGATACAAGCAGCCCATGAAGTATTGTCAAGAGCAGAACATATACGAGAATTTTCTTGATTTCACGACCACAATAGGTGCCGTGAAGTTCAAAGTAGATGTGCTATCTCATGAACTGTTGAAGGAAATACCGAAGTGTGTTTTTGAAATGCAAGTATTACCCATCTAGTGCTGTTATGTTAATCATCAAGAAGCGTAGTTCTGCATTTTCAGTCACGTTAGGATTCCGGTATTTAAATTTCCTGTCTACAGCCCGTCTGCAAAATGCGCACTCTGTCAAATTGGTTGCATCTTTGGCATAAATTGCCTTTGTCGATTTATGATGTGGGAATAAGTTCAAAGATGCGACATATTAACCATGAGTCAAAATATTCTCTCTCGTACTCATTAACTGATAAATTGTATTGTCTCCAAATTTTCATCTAAAGGAACGCCAATATTTTTGTTTTAAATAGTTCTTAATTATAAGATTTTCTAAAACCCTGACACGCCGATTTATACACCATCGTATCAGATCGTTTACGATGCATGTTTTGGAAGCGTGATTTCTGGTTTATATCCATTGAGGACATTTATGAATCCTATGTGATTTTATCCTAAAGGCAAAAAAACTTTGTGATAGATCATGTTGGATTGTGTACAACATGCAGTTCGTAAATCCCGAATTTATGTGTAATCGCAGGTAAGACAAAAAGTATTCGGCAATTGAAAACGACTCTGAAAGCCTAAATACTATCTCTACAAGCATCAAATGGGAGGAAGAAAGACTTTGCTAGCGATAAAGCAGGAGTGAGAATATCCTTCTGCGCGTATAAATATTTATATTTATAAAGACATCAAAAATCAGAAAGAAAATATATGCCGCATTAATAGACACTGTTCACAGGCATTAGATTTCACATATGGCAAAATGAAGCGCATTAAAAAGCCTGCCTCCCAGCGTAACTGAGATGCTTAAATGTAATACTGCAGAGATGAGTAATATAATGGGCGTACCTGAGTAGTTTTTCCGAATCAAAGGCGTTTTTGGATTTCGACGACATTTTATTTAGCATATCGACAGCACGCACTATTCTGTCTAACAGCCCCAGCGTGGTGATACTGTCGGAAACGGTGTTTATCATTGTATTGATTGCATCGGCAGATTAATCATTGCTTCCCGCAAGCAGAGACAGGTGTAAATTAGGCACGCATCTCTGTTATATGTTTAGACGCTGATATCATGGCCCTGCTACTAACCATTGACAATAAGCCCGTCAAGTGTTCTCAGACAACATGCTGCGTATTATGCTGTGTCTGATCTATACCCTATTGACTTTTCCTTATTACCAAGAAATAAAACAATGATATGGAAATGCGGTTTCGGAACTACTTTAAAAATTACTGCAGACCCAAAATGGCGTTATTTCAAAACAATAGAAAAGTGACTTGAAAAATGAAAAACCAGTTAGGATAATTAGATGCAATATAATGGAAAACAAAACTGATGTTTTTGTTTAAAAAAAGCAAAATTGATAAACGTTTTAGGAGTCGATTTGCAAAGAAGTATTTTTAATAACTCATTATCAGGCCAACACAGTTACTTCGAAATTGAAAATATGGTAATTGCGCAGGGTTTATAAGTGACCTAGAAGCTGTTAACACTCATAATCTTCAAGCCACCTGCGTGAGGACTTCGGTGGGACACGGACAATAGGCATGTGAGGGTGATAGAATGTCTGTGAGTGGAGTTTTCATTACTGTCGTCAAGGGGTTAAGACGGTGTTTAAAATCGCTGTGGCATTATAAAATGCAGGCTTCACAAACTCTCTCCTCCCATGCCTGAGTGGTAACGACCGATTACCCTTGCAGGTCTCACCGATATGTATTTGCACATTCACTTGCTCCTTTGGAGGATGACACATCGGCCGCAGAAAGAGACGCCTGGAAAAGTGACTATATGAATCCCTATGGACTCCACTAGGCAGAGATGAGAACAGATCTATTTTGAGTTCTGTCTTGTTTATCTTGTCGATGCTAAGGAAGCCCTTTAAGTTGTCTACCGGACACCAGTCAGCTTCGTCAGAAGCCCTCGCCAAAGGCTGCTAGCTTCAGCCTAGGCAGTCGCTGTACGGCTAGCGAACGCAACGCTATGTTAACAGAAGACTTTGACACAGGTCTTTCATGGCCAGCGCCTAGCCCGCACAGTTATCACACGTCGCCCAAACCCCCTGGTGACAATGACCCGACGTACACAGCCTAGGCATCGTCCGGTAGCTATAACCTGCCTATGTCGTCACGCGGGTCATGGGTCACTTATAACCCCTCTGAACTTCTCACATTTTCAATTTCTATGAATCTGTATTGGCCTCATAATGAATTATTGAAGACTCATGTTTGTGAAATGGAATCCTTATATGCAACATAAAGGCAGTTTTCATAAATTGAGTCGTTCTCGTTTTTGGGAACATTTGGAGCAGATATATAGCGATTAAAAAACGTGAGATTTGGGAACCCCTGTCTTGTCGATCATACCATTCCGACAAACTCTCCGTGGTCGAGACTTGACGATATCGTACATTTGATAGAGGAGTGGCGTCCGTTCGTTTAGCGTCACCGATTGTCTGAATGTTATGGTCAACAACACGAAGGTTTCAAAATCAAAAGTCAGGGAAGACAGATCAGGTTGGACAGGCCTTGACTAGAAGTGCGAACAAGAGAATCTGCAAGCAGTTGCTAAAGGTTGTCATTTTAGACAATTTGCTCCCACAGGCTGTTTCTTCAGGCGTGCCGTGTATTTGTCAGTACCAAACTTTGAAGATACTAACCCCTACCGCTTGTTCCCGACTTCGCACTGTCTCACTTATTGTCCGTCGGCAGCCAAACACAGGAGATTTGCTTTTAGGTTCCATGAGACTAGTGGCAATACTCGCGTGGTTCAAGTCGCGAGTCGACAGGGGGCACAGGGCAGACAAATGAACAGCGACACAAAGCGGCGCTCACCGGGTGATCGCAGCGCCGTCTAAACGCTCTAATGCGTATTTTATGGCTCCGTTTCTCGAAGCTTATTGTTTAGTAGTAAATAGTAATGTTCTCACGAATTAATGAGTTATATCTCACGAGCCCCTAGCCTTAAAGGCATCGAGTAAAACGGAGCAGTGAATAATGTAGAGATTTTGAACGTTAAGAAAACTGACAACAGAATACCAGAGCAGAGCACGCTAGCAAGGCGGGTTGTGCAGGTGTGTCGTTTTCCGTCAAATTCAAACAAGCAGTGCGGTCAAAGAAAATAGGACTAAATAGTCAAAGGTAAATTAGTCAGGTAACTCCCCATACTACCCCCCTTCTAGATCGGAGGACGGCGGAATACGGCCCTGGAGGATATGCATAAGTCCAGAAGAAATGCCTAACTAAATGATCCGGTAAATGAACGTGACGGCCACTGCGAGTGCTGTAAGCAGGAGGTACAGTCGAAGAGCATCGACTGCATGCTGTGGTGGACGATGGTGTTGTAGTTGGATGCTGTCGACATGTAGGAAGAGGAAGTATGCGGGAAGGAGGGGCAGAGAGCAAGGGAGGGGAAGGGCGAGGCAGTGGGCAGGGTGACTGAACAGAGGATAGGGAAGATAGAGGAAAAGGAATAAGGGAATCAGCATATTTTGTACTTGTTCCAGGTCCGGCGGCTCCTCTGCAACAGCAGCCCTGACCCGATCGAAACTGACCACGTCCTCCTTGTCACCGCGAAGAATCCGGCAGGTCTTGGCGTTGCGCGCGAGCACGCGGAACGGTCCTTCGTATGGTGATTTCAGCGGCTGGCGCACCCGGTAACACCGGACGAACACATGAATACAGTTGTCCAATTCTTTTTCGACATAAGACTCAGTCATTGGAGCTCGAGGTGGAACCGGAGAAAACGAGCACATAAATTGCCGCAAACCGTGCACAATATTGTCAGGAGTCTCGTCGGTCCCGCGAGAGGTTGGGGTGATCATCTCGCCTGGCAGTCAGAGGGTAGTGCCGGAAACCAATTCAGTTGCGCTACAGCCCAGATACGACTTTAAATCTGCGCGGATGTCGAGGAGTGCAAGAGGAAGGTTGTCCGACCAGTTTCCTGGGTCTTCTACGGCACGCAGGGCAGTATTTAGCTGGCGATGTAAACGGTCCACCGTACCGTTGGTAGCTGGGTGGTAGGCTGTCGTCGAATGCGTGTGCAGCCAAGGAAATGGAATAGCGTTTGAAAGAATGTCGAATCAAACTGGGCACCACAACAAATCGTAACCGTGGATGGGGTACCGAACATGGCGACGCAACGACTGGCGAAGGCCTTCACGATGGTTTCAGCCTGAACATTCGACAAAGGAATAGCTTCAGCCCAACGAATATATCGATCGACGCAGGTAAGGAGGTGGGTGAAACGATTGGATGGAGGCAAAGGGCCTACGACATCCATGTGCACATGGCAGAATCGGGCGTCGGTACTGGGGAAAGTGCCTGGTGGTGACTTGTTGTGACGCTGCATCTTGTTGCGCTGGCAGCTCAGACACGACTGAGTCCAACCTTTGACGTACTTGTTCATGCCAGGCCAGACAAAACTTTTCGCAAGTAGCTTTTGGGAGACTCGGATCCCAGGATGTGAGAGTGAATGCAGAGTTTGAAATACAGCTCGACGCATCGAGGCGGGCACGAAAGGGCGATGAAAGGGTGTTGAGACGTCACAAAGTATTGCACCAGAGCCGGTGGTCGGAGGAACGTCTTGGAGTAGGAGACCACTAGCAGACTCGTGACCAGGGCAACCCACTCGCAGTTGCTCAGCCGCCATGACACAAAGATCGATCCCGTGTGAGAGTGGAAGGGAAGACAGTGAGCGTCTGGACAGCATATCAGCCACCTCATTCTTCGTGCCATCAATGTGACTGATGTCGGTGGTGAATTGAGCGATGTAGTCCAGGTGGGCGATTTTCCTCGGATGTGGAAACAGTGAAGTCACGACCTTCTAGAAAATGCCGGAAATGCTACACAGCCAGGTAAATGGCAAGTAGTTCACGGCCAAAGTTACTGTAGCGTTTCTAACCTGGTAAGAGCTTTTTGGAGAAAAAGGCAAGTGGTTGAGTCGGACCAGCAAGGTGTTGTTAAAGGACTGCACCGACGACTACGGTCGAAGCATCTTCCATCAGAGACAGCTGAGCTTCGGGAGCGGGATGTGTGAGTAAGGTGGCCTCGTCAAGGGAGTTCTTGATTATCTCAAAGGCAGTCAGTGCTTCACCAGTAAGGTTGAGGGGACCTTTGGAACCAGAAAGCATGTTGTTGAACGGCAGCATGAGGTCAGCACAGTTCGGTAGGAACCAACAGTAAAAAATGACCATGCCGAGGAATCGATGTAACAGACGCTTGAAAGTAGGAAGAGGAAAATTACGAACTGCTTCAACCTTG